AATAATTTCCTAATACTGGGTAGAAATTTTGCTGAAGTCTGATTGATACAGTTGGGTCTCAAGTCATTTCTCCAGTCCTTTCAAATGCACTGATAGCATGTAGCTGGGAGGGAGAGACCATTAGGGAGTTTTTCACAGGATCTTCCCACCCCATCTCAGAATCAGGTGACTGTCATCCTTTTATCACCCAGATCTCACATTATTTCTTGACACACACAATACACAGTAAAACATTAATTTATATCTTCCTTCTCTACAGGACAGGAGCGGTGAAACTCAACCAATACCTCATCATGGTGGGTGACATCTGATGTGGAGTCACCACCCTGAAAACACGCATGATTTAAATGCAGTCTGCAGGGACTCAATCATCTGACTTGCAAGATGGCTGATTTTCTGCTTCATGGCTGCAGATCGACTTATCTTTTCAAAGTCTACATTCTGATTTTCAAACAGTACTGTATTTATTTTTCATAGTTTTTTCATTGAAACGTTTACATATAGGGCTACTTTACTTTTCCCTTTGATCCATGACTTAAGTTGTGTTATTATGGCTGCTTTTATTTGTCTTGTTCAAAGCATCTGATTGTTAAAATTGGGTTTGAAATTGTCAAATAGGAATACCCCTTATATTGACACTGGTTCCTCAACAGGGAAATTAAGCCTCCAGTGTGAAAAACACAGAAGAGAGAAAATGTTTAAATTCAGAGTAAACTATTTGGCAATAATTAAATCCCATTTACTAGTACGACATGATATAGTTTCCATCATTTTGTTTTATTGAAAAGTCATACAATACATTCAGATCATGGTTCCCTTCCCTTGTCCTCCGGATCCTCCCCATCTCAACACTCATCTTACCTCACAGCATCTTCCTCTCTCCAGAAAACAAAGAGTCAAATGAAGAAAAAACATATTTAAAAAGAGACATGAAGCACACACACACAATCCATGCAGACACAAAATTGGTAACCATAATATACAAGCCAAAGAGCATTAATATTAAAAAATTCCCAAAGAAAATGAGACAAAAAAGATATAAAATCGCCTTGGGCTCCTTCTGTTTTCGTCATATACTGCTGAGTGTGGTGCCTCCCCTTAAGTGTAGTTTACACCTAGTGAGACTCCTTTGGAGAAAACTGATTTTCCCTTTACAAGCAGTGGTCAATTATAGTTTCTTGGTTAGGGATAGGAGATTGTGTCCAGTTTGCACTCTCGGCATCGGGACTCTGTGTGGCTTGATCATTTCAGGTCCTGTGCACGCTGCCACAGAATCTGTGACTTCATATGTGTGTTCATTCTGCTGTGTCTGAGAAACACTGTTTCCTTGGTGTCAACCATCCATGGCTCTGGATTTTCATCAAAGGCCTTTATAGTATCTCCTAAAATGATCACATGGTTTTGTCTTTCAGTTTGTTTATATGGTAGATACATTTATTGACTTAGATATATTGAACCATCTCTGCATCTCTGGGATGAAGTCTACTTGATCATTACAATAATCTTTTTGTAATCTCTTGGATTCAATTTGCAACTATTTTAATTAGTATTTTACATCATTGTTCATAAAGGAAATTGGTCTGACATTTTCTGTCTTGGTTGGGTGTATATGGTTTAACTATCTGAACATTTTGGCCTTGTAAAAGAACTAGGCAATGTCCCTTTTTTTGTGGCATATGAAGAATAAGGTGCTTGGTGTGTTAATTCTTCTTCTTCTTTTCTCCTCCTCCTCCTCCTCCTCCTCCTAATTCTTCTTCTTCTTTTCTTCTCCTCCTCCTCCTCCTCTTCTTCTTCTCCTCTTGGTTTTTCGAGACAGGGTTTCTCTGTACTGCTTTGGAGGTTGTCCTGTAACTTGCTCTGTAGACCAGGCTGGCCTCGAACTCACAGAGATCCGTCTGCCTCTGCCTCCCGAGTGCTGGGATTAAAGGCGTGTGCCACCAACACCCAGCTTGGTGTTAATTCTTGAAGTACCAGTAGGATTCAGAACTTAACCATCTGGCTCTAGGTTTGTTTGACTGGAAAACTTTTAATTAGTGTAATAATGCAGAATTATCTGTGGAGGGAGAGAGGGGTTGAGGGCTCAGGGGAGTCTGAGTCTGACCCAAGCGTTCTGGTCTCTAGTGAGTGAGGTAGATGGGGGAGGAGAGGTAGAAGCACACTGCTAAGTGGCTGGCACCCCACTAAGGAGAGCTTTTTCTCTCGTGGATCAGGAAACGGATTAGACCAATCACTGGCGGGCCACGCCCACAATCTCTGCAGGACACAATTTAGACCAATCACTGGCGGGCCACGCCCACAATCTCTGAGCCACCTTGGCCCCATGACATCTTGCAGGTAGGACAGGTTGTGGGTTGTATGTTTTGTGACCGAGTTAGTGTGGTTACTGAGTTAGTCTGGTTACTGGAGACGGCTGGTTCAGGCTCTATACCCTTCATTACAGGAGTCCTTGATAGAGTCAACCTCATAGGTTCTAGAAGGTTCCACTCCACATCACCCCCTAAATGAAATGCCCACCTGTTACAGTCGATATCTCCTGGTATTCTCTGCCCATTCCTCCCTCCCCTGCTTGATCCGTCCTGTTCTCTTTTCCATAAACCCTCAAGGCGCCCACAAAAATCTGTGCCACCGCTGCAGTGGTATCACACAAGAGTCCCACTGGAGAGATCTTAACTGCAGAAACAAAGGAGAGCGGAAATCTCCTGAGTCCCAGCCTGGTGTGGCCACCAGCAGTATCGGGTAGGGGACTTTTCTAAGAATTGAGGGTAATGGGTTAGCTGTAAGAGCTGAGAGGTTCCACAGGAAGGAAAAACTGAAACTCTGAGGAGTTTCCAGAGTGTCATGCTTTTATCACCCGTGTCTGTCATCTAATTATGTCTTGACACACACCACACAGCAAAGTGTTAATATCTACTATCTCTACAAGAGAGAACCAGGGACAGGAAGGGTAGTGAAACCCATCACAGGCTCCTTAAAGAGAAGACAATCCAAGACTAAGAATATTGTCCAGTCTAAATTGAGGACAGACAGATTTCAATCTGCAAATGATGGTCTTTACCTACAACTAAGCCTTGGATAAGGAAAGTGCAACTCAATGTATAAACAAAGAAAACCCATAAGAGGTTGGCAAAATTAAGTTCCTGTGGTGATCCTTGCCTCTGTTATTGCTAAGAGGCAGAAAGCTTTGGGTTGAGGAGGCATTATTCTATTTCTGAACATAGGGAGTCACAATCTAAATTATCAGCACTTCACTACAGCCCTTCATTTAACTCACCAACATATCCTCTATCAGGGGCATCTAGAGGCAGTGCTGCAAATTCCTACAACTGGCATGGACTCCACTTCCTACGGCCTTGTTTGCAGGGTTTCCCACATCTTCCTATAACGTCTTCAAATGTGTGTGTGCAGGTATCACTGACAATCTAATTTCAGAAATGATATTGCCAAACTCTGAAACGTCTGAGGAGGGGCTGAGATACAGATGCAGGGGGCGGGAGATTAATTAGAGCCTCGTAAGCATGAAGCTGATCTGGAGCTCTGCCATCAACAGACATACAGTGAATTTACGGCTTTAATCCCACAAATGACTGTGGTGTTCCCCTGCTTCACTAGAGCAGAGCCGTCAGCCGTGCTGATTGAACCTGGAAAGGTAAACATGGCATTTATTCAGATCCTTTAAAAACCAAAGGAAAATCAAAAACCACAAAGTTTCCTACAAAGCAATTCAACTGCTTTGGTTTGTATGGTTATCTGAGTAGAGCTTTCCAGTTGTCTCTGGAGTTTCTGACATGTTCAGGTCGGTGATTTGAAAATGGTATTACTACTTAATATCTTAATTTCTTTTGAGCTAATCAGGTTTAGATAAAGTACAAAGACAGTGTAATAAAAACCTCTTACCATCATCAAATGCCTAGGCATAGCAGTGCTCCAGATCAGCCCTTCCCCCAGCCCTCCGCTCCCAGAGGCTACCTGTATGCAACAGGCCAAGGGCCAAAACTGAACACAAAGGAACTCCCAACCATCCCCCCCCCCCAAGCCTCCTAGGTACTTGGATCCTGGGGACTGTTTGACCACAAAAGAAACTCCCCTGTAGTCTCCAGGAAATTCAACCCTGAAAAATATCGGTACAACAGACCACCTGCAAGCCATGGAAACCACAGAATGTTCCCTCCCAGCACCAACCTATGAGAAAAATGGGTACACAGGTATTACTCGCCAAAAACATGACTTCGAAAAATCTCTTGATTGCTCCCCCCCAAATGTCAACCAAGCAGATACCAACCCGTACCTACTGATGCATCCTGTAACTTTTGTCTTTAAAACCTGACAGTGGACAGGGACCTTCACCGGCTCTGAAGGCTGCTACATCAGCTTGCTAGATGGGTTCCCTCCCGCGGGAAAGATAGGATAAACAATAAGCCAGTGCATTTACATCCGTGGTCTGTCTGCCTGGTCTCTTTGGGAATCCTTGTGACTTGGGCACAACAGTAGAACTGGCTATAATAATTAATAATAATAATAATATTGCACACAGGAGAAAGGGGGCCGTGTGGGGGTGTCCCACAGCTGAAAAGGATCTTCACCCTATGTCGACGATTGTGGTTGTGAATCCACCAAGTTCTCTTCCATCGGGACGGCAGTTTTCTTTCTAAATGTTCATAAGGAAACAGACTGCATACGTATTTCACTCATGCAGGGGCAAACACACTAAGCCCCATCAATTTAAATGAATTGAAAACCCATGCCTTGAAGCATGACATTTTTACTGAAGCAGTTGCGCACAAATACTCACCAGGAATCTCCTGCACTACTGCAGTGGCTCCACAGTTCTGAAACACGTTAAACGTGTGCGAAAGCGACTCAGCGCCTCCCCTCCCGCCGCCGCCGCCGCCGCGGCCCGGTGCATGCGCGGCCACTTACTCGAACCCGGCCGTCACCTTCCCGCCCGCGCCGCGCCTGCGCAGCCCGCTCGCCGCGCCTGCGCTCTTTCATCTGCCGCCCGCGACGCTCGGGGACCGGGCGGGAACACCAGCTCCGGCTAGGCACGGTCACAACCGCCGGGGACGCCAACACCCTGGATCCCACGACCCGGTCCCCGCGGGCCTGCGCGCGCGCGGAATCAAACCCGGAGGCTCCGGAAGCGTCCCGGGCTCCCGGCGGCCTTAGACGGCAGCGGCGTGACCCGTGGGACCCGTGCAGTCCTCCGTGCCGCCGCGCGAGGGCGCTGCGGGTGCATCCGCGTGCCTGCCGTGGCGGGGCGCGGCCGCGCGGTGTCGCTGCGGGCGGCGGCCTGGGGCCAGCGCGGCCTCTCCCGTGGGGCGGGGCAGGACGCGGCGTCGCGCGGCGCTTCCGCAAGTGTGGAGCTGCTGCGGGATGGCTTCGCTGCTGCTGCAGCTGGCGGGGCTCGTCGTGGCGCTGGCGGCCGCCGCGCTCATTTTGGTGAGACCGTGGTGGAGTCCCGGTGCTCAGGGCTTCCCCTCCGCCCTTCCCACTCAGTTTCGGGCCTCTTGCTCCCAGATCCCCTGAAATCTTTGACCCTGTGTTTCCCCCCTTGGAACCTTGTCTGCACTCAGCTTCTCCGGGCCCCGGCTACCCGGCCTGGCATGCCCTAGCCTTCCTCTTGGGCCCCCAGACTCTGCATTGCCGAGCCCCTTGGTGTGCCGCAGCCAGGAATGGAGCAGCGGGCCTGGCTGCCTAGGGTTGGTGGGTGAGCAAGAGATAGCCCCAGACTTCATTCTTCACCTTTCAGCCAGGGGTCGTTTTGTCCCAGAGTCAAGCCCCTTAGCATTTTCTTTGCCATTCTGAGAACAAGCTTGCAGGACCTTGCTGTTAAACGGAAGAGGGCAGATTTGCGGACAGAACTCTGCTGCATAGTTTGGGAAGAGCCTGCCAGTAATTCAGTAAATGGAGGTTTGGAAAAGCTTCCTCGCTATTGACTAGGCGGCTCGACTGCTGGCCAGGAAGGCTTCTCCGCCCTGCCATATGAGTCCAGGCACTGTCTAGGCATGGTGTAGCCTGGTGACTGCCGCTGTGTGTCTGGGTGAGCCACGAGCTCTCTCTCTTGATAAAATGCCTTTTTTTTACAGGTTTGGAACAAGTCTGGGTTTTGTTGCACAATTCTGAGTTGAGGCCGCCTTACTGTTGAGCTGGTGTGCAGATTTAGACGGGTGTGTGCACGATGAGGTTGTGTGGGCTTGGATGCGCTGGCTGGAAGTGGCAGAGGTCCCCTTTATCTTCCTGCGTGCATGTTACACTCGGTGTGCAGTGCTCTGGGTCCTGAAACTCATCTCATCGTCCGGCTACCCACTGTCATTCATTCCACCGAGTACCACTTGTTAGCATCATTTAAAAACAAATCCAGATACTATTTCAGCTCTAAATCATCAGCGTTTATTTCTGTCGGGACCCACATTAAAACAGTGACTGCAGTAAGGTACTTCCAACTCTTTAAAACCTAACTAGTATTTCTGGTTCCAAATACCCTGTCAGTTTAAGTACTCTGAGTTTGCCAGTGTGGGACTCACAGACTGCCTCCCCAAGCATATTTAACTTGGTATATTTAACTTCCAAATTTGTTGTAAGATACGGAGACTTGTTAAATTCACATGAGTCTTCTTGATGGGTGTGGGGGTTTTGCTTGTTTTTATGAAAAGTCCTTAGGTTCCCAGTCACCTGAAGCACCTTTTACATCTGGAAGCTCAAGTCTTTAAGATGCTGAGATGTTTCCCTGAGGTCTTGAAACGATGACCAGCTTTTATTCTTGTATTATTACAAACTTCATTTTTTTTCTCTGTGTTTCCAGCCACTGCAATGATTATCCTTTTGGAAATTATCCCTTCCTCAGAGGCCTGAGGAGCAATTGAGGTGACCCACCTGTCCCTTCCCATGCAGCCCTCGTTCGTGGTTACAGATTAATTTTGCTTTCTGCACGATATGCTGTGTTAACATAAATCTTCCCACCCCGGATCTGGCTTAATTGTTTCCCAAGGTTGCTTTCTTGGAAAACTGAATTCAGAAGTCACAATCTGTACAATAGAGTGCACAACCAAACTCTTTTCATTTAGAAAATATACTTTTTAAATGTGCATGAGTGTGTGTGTGTGTGTGTGTGTGTTTGTGTGTGTGTTTGTGTGTGTACGTGCACATGAGTGCTGAAGCCAGATGTTGGGTCCCCGGAGCTGTACTTAGAGGCATTAGCTGTGAGTCTCCACATGGGTGCTGGGACCTGAACTGAGTCTTCTGCAAGAGCAGCCAGTGCCCTCACTGGCCCCTAGGATGACTCAGAACTGTCAGTGTGGCTGCTGTCCCTGTGCGCCCTCATCAGAACACACAGTGGGATACTAGAGAAAGTCACCAGAGCAGCATTGAGTAGAACTACAAGCATGTGTTGCTTATTTTCAAATAGAGTTCTCCAGTGAGAATGGTGATGCAAATTATGGTGCATTTCCAAAGCCAGCTTCCCAAGTGCATGTAAAAGGCACCCACAAGTTTGTTTCCTAATAATTTTATCTTCATTTTGTGGGCGTGAGTGCTGTTGCCTGAGTGCATGTCTGTGTATATGCAATGTGCGCATGCCTGGTGTCCTCAGCGGCTAGAAAGGGTGCCAGATCCCTGGGAACTGGAGTTATGGATGGTTCTGAGCCGCCAATGTGGGTGCTGGGAGCCAAACCTGGGTTCCTTGCAAGAGCGGCCAGTGCTCTTAACCGCTTCCGCCCAGGAGCCTAGAAGTCGTCTAAGTTACTCCAGAAGTTGCTGTGTTCTGGATTCAAATTCAGGATACATACCAGAATGCATTCTCATGCGTTACAGTCCCTGCTGTGGGGCCCCAAGAGACTTTTTCTTCAGAGGCTCAGGCAGTTCGGTCCTCCTGTGTCACTGCTGCCAAATGGATGTGACCTGTCATACGCATGCTCCAGGCAGGAAGTATGTGCTATCCTTTGTAAGATCTTCTGGTATTGACTTCTATCTCTGGCATAGAAGAGGCCTTAGGGAATGAGAGGCAGATAAGAGGCCTCCTGAAGTATTTAGCACATTACTAATGGGGCCAAGGACAGTCTCAGTCCATAGGGGCTGATTAGAGGCTGACTGCCATGTAATAGCATAATCACCTCCAGAGCACTGTTAAAAAGAGTCGAACCTGGGTCTACATATTCTCCCAAACAACAACAGTAAAAATTTATATGTGCAAACGACAATGTTTTAGCGCAGCAAATGTTTAAAGAGGTTGAAGTAACCAGGTTTTAACAACTACCTTTAGGTTTCTGTCATCGCATTTATAACTGCTACAAAAATGCCACCACATCACCGACATGAAGAAGAGAAATTCTTCCTCAATGCCAAAGGTCAGAAGGAAACATTACCCAGCATCTGGGACTCACCTACCAAACAGCTGTCCGTGGTCGTGCCTTCCTACAATGAAGAGAAACGGTGTAAGTTCTATTTGAGTTCGTTACCCCATGAGTCCTTTGGGAAGAAAGGGAATCCTGAGGTGTTTGCAGTCACTGAGTGGAGCGCATGGTTGGCAGCTGTGATTGGTGGGGAGGGGAAACTTCTGGAAGGACCGAAGTGTTCCAGAAAAGTCCTACGATGAGAACAAGAGACAGTCTGAGCGAGAATGGCCTGAGTGACAGGCACATCTCCCTATGTGAATGGAGGATGCTGGGATAGCAAACTCATTTTCAAAAGCAATCTGTAAAACATTTTTTCCCCTCTAGTGCCTGTGATGATGGATGAAGCCCTGAACTACCTGGAAGAGAGACAGGTATCACACTTCTCTTTCAGTGTCACATCTCTAGTTAAGGCTACAGGCCACCAGTTGCTGATCCCAGCTGGGGACGCTGTGAGGCAGGCCAGCCAGGCCTGCGGCGTGCTGCCTCCAGAGGCCAGCCACGAAGCAGACTTTTCCCTGTTGTACCCTCCCTCCTTCTGACTCTCTGACCTGGTGATTTAGTGTAGATTCTGTGCCCCTGACTGTGCGCAGGCTCACTTCTGGGACGTCTTTAAGAGGAGGTGTGTGCGTGTATTCATGTGTAGATCCATTGGAGCCTTTATACCATAGTCTGGAGAACTTTTTTTCAAGGGGATTCACATGGATTAATTGATACAACGTTACAGTATTAAAAACTTTAAGTTATAAACTCATCACATATAAAATATTGTAGTCCAGCCCTCAGCAGAGAGTGGCCAATATTGGGGTATTTACATCTGAAAATGTATGCAGATGCTCAGATACCCTAGACAGGCATGCTACAGGGGCTGCGGATCCAACCCTAAAAGATGTGTATTTTTTGTTTTATTTTGTTTTTTGTTTTTCGAGACAGGGTTTCTCTGTATTGTTTTGGAGGCTGTCCTGGAACTCACTCTGTAGACCAGGCTGGCCTCGAACTCACAGAGATCCTCCTGCCTCTGCCTCCCGAGTGCTGGGATTAAAGGCGTGCACCACCAATGTCCAGCTAAAGATGTGTATTTTTTAAATGCTTGCACTTTTTATATTCAGAAGCACAGTAATTTATATCTCTTTGGACTTGTCTTGGGACAGTTAAAGATGTGAAATTTATACCTCATCTCTTTGTAGCTCTTTCTAGAAAATTCCTTATTTTGATTAGCTTTGGATTTTAAGATGTATTTCTTGACAGAAAGGGACTATTACAGACTTGAACTTACCTGTGAGGTAAAGCAGACGTGAACTGGGCTCCTCCTGTAAGGCTGAGGAGTGTCACCCAGGTCCAAACTCCCTGTGACCTCTGACTTCACAGACCTCTTTCTCAGACATGGCCCCTTCCCAGCCTGCCCAAGCGTCCCTGATGCATGCCTCTCCCCTCGTGGTCGGGGCAGGTGTCTACCCCTCATATCCTGTTCCTTTTTTATTTCATGTGGCTTGCATACTCCTGTCTGCACGTGTCCCTAGCAGCGTTAGAACTCCTGTTGCTTAAATTATACCTGTGTTAGGGCTGGGCAGCTGTCTTAGCAGGTAAAGGCACTTGCTGTGCAAGCCCGAAGACCTTTGTTCAATTCCCAAGAACCCACAGTGGAAGGAGAGAACCAGCTCCTGCAGGTTGTCCTCAAACCTCCATGCATGTGTGATTCCCATGTGTTTTTAATGACAGTTATACAGGCTGGCGTGGTGGCTCCCTGGGTAAAGACCCCTGCTGCCAAGGCTGGCCATCTGAGTTTGATCCCTGTGACTTATGTGTTAGGAGAGAGACCGCCCCCAGAAGTTATCCTCTGACCTCTGTATATGCACCAAGATCATACCCACACACTCATACACACGCATAAATGTTGAAGAAAATTTGAAATACTGCTATAGCTTTGTTAATCTCTCTCATCATTTTGCCAAGTTAACATTAGTGATTTTTGCTTCTTGCAGAAGCAGGACCCTAAGTTCACATTCGAGGTGGTCGTAGTTGACGATGGCAGTCAAGACCAGACGTCAAAGGTGAGTGTGTGTGTGTTACAATGGCTGCTCCATAGGAAACTTGGAGTCATTCAGGACGTGTGGCTTAATCCCGCCTGCTGGAGGAGCCCAAAGCTGAGCTCATTGCTTCCTGGCCCGTCTTCACTTCTGTCACTGCAATAAAATGCCCTGAGCAAAGAAGCGACTTCAGGGAGCAGGGGCTCATGACCGCAGGAGGTCGCAGAGCCGGGAGCCTGAGTCAGAGCATGGCAGAGAGAGACAGTGCACCCACACTGCCTGCCCGCTTGCTAGCTCTCCAGTCATACAGGGTTCAGGCCTGGAGAATGGTGCTGCCCACAGTGGACCGGCTGGGTCTTCCAGTGTCACTTAACACTCAGGACAGTCCCCCATGGGGATGCCAAAGGCCCAGCTGTCACAAGAAGGATGAGCCGCAGTGGTGGTGTCTGCCCGAGTGAAAAACCCCCATCGGTGTGGCTTGTGGACTCTGAGTTACTGCTCTCCTTTCTGTACTGACTCTGTGTGACTGACAGATGCTAATTGTGTGTATTTATAGGCATAATGTGAGTTTCAGTACATGCATGTAACATGTCCTGAACACATCGGAATAACTCTCCAAGCTAACTGCATTCTGTCCTTTATGCCATCCACAGGTCGCTCTGAAATACTCCCAGAAATACGGAAGTGACAAAGTCCGAGTGGTAACGCTGGTGCGGAATCGTGGGAAAGGCGGTGCTGTCAGGATGGTAATAATTCACGCTTTTGTTTCAAATCTGAGGAACTTTGAGAGCATCCTTTTCAGCTTACACCACATAGCAAATAGCAGCGTTTGAAGTTATCTACAACTTTATGTATTTGATTTGATAAAGTGTGAGCTTCATGCTCTGTCTGTAGCACACTAGAAGACATGTTTGTGCAGTGTCATGTCCTCTTTGCTGAGGCTAGAGTGACTGCTCACACTAGGACAGCGTGGTCTCTCGAGTTGCGCTTTCCCTTGTAGAGGCACCGCGGAGCCTGGTAGCGTGAAGTCAGGTGACTCCCGGGTCTGCTGATGTGGAGCGCTGTGTCCCAGGAGACACAGGCATCTGCACAACTGGTGTGAGGACGGGTAGGCTGAGGAGAGGCTCCGGTGAGGAGCCTGCAGGGCCAAAGGCAGAGGAGGTTGTTTTTGGTCAAAGGAGGCCTGTCAGAGAGAAAAAGAGGGAGTTAGGGAAGTGTGAAACTTTTTGCAACAATGAAATGGACAGAAGATACAAGTGGGGACTTCCTATCTACAGGCTATGAGCTTAGGCCCCCTTCTGCCGTATTATACCTAATACTCCTCTCTTAGCTGTCTTAAAACAGAATGAACTGAAATGCTATTGAGTCTGAACTTAGTTCTAAGCACCTCTCTTTCTCCTGGAATTTGTGAATTCAGGGTGTTTTCAGTTCTCGAGGAGAGAAGATCCTCATGGCTGATGCTGATGGAGCCACGAAGTTTCCAGATGTTGAAAAACTAGAAAAGGGGCTGAGCGCTCTCCAGCCATGGCCTGTGAGTAAAAGAACTCATTGAGTGACAGACAGTCAGGGGCCCAGGGCTCAGAAGCACAGTCAGATTTTATCTACAGTTGAACTTCCTTTTTCTGTAGGGACTGGTTCTTACTACGTAGACCAGGCTAGCCTTGAACCCACAGCAATACACCGGCCTCTGCCTCCCAAGTGCTGGGATTAAAGGTGTGTGCCACCACACCCAGCAGAGTCCTCTTTTTTTTTTTAAAGATTTATTTATTTATTATGAATACAACAACATCTTGTCTACACACCAGAAGAGGGCACCAGATTTCATTATGGATGGTTGTGAGCCACCATGTGGTTGCTGGGAATTGAACTCAGGACCTCTGGAAGAGCAGTCAATGCTCTTAACCTCTGAGCCATCTCTCCAGCCCCCCCAGAGTCCTCTTAATAAGTATGACTAGCTGTCTCCGGGCTGTGCATATTCTGAACCCCTCCATAGACTTTACAAATATTAGTGCTATTTTTCATTGTTTACAACAGTGAGATGTTTGCATTAGATATGGTGCATTTACATGTGACACTTAAATATTAAAAGGAATGACGCTGTTGCTTTTTCCTCAGGATCAAATGGCCATTGCTTGTGGGTCTCGAGCTCATTTGGAGAAAGAATCCATTGCTCAGGTGAGGCTTTCCCAAGCTGCCATCGACAGTAGCTTGTTAATCTTTAACCCCCTTTTACATAAACATCTGACAAGAAATGGGTCCCTGTTTTTTCTCTCAAAAATGAGCTTCCCATTAACTTCATTGGAGTTTATGAGTTTATGAAAGTTTAGCAGAAGTGTACTCCAAGGGGTGGGACTTTATTTTAGGATGGAAGCATTCCACGGGTTGTTTCTAAGATACAGATGATCTCTCTCTCTCTCTCTCTCTCTCTCTCTCTCTCTCTCTCTCTCTCTCTCTCTCTCTCTCTCTCTCTCTCTCTGTGTGTGTGTGTGTGCATTTACAGACTCTCAGTCAGGCTCTAGGATGACACCAGGGTCTGCCTCTCAGCAGATCACAGGTCACTTTTGTGCACACTAATTCTAGTATTATTAAAATAATATTGAATGTCTTCCCTCCACGATTCTGAAGTGAGGAGAGTTTAAACTCTGTCAAGACAGCAGAGTTGCAAACCCTCACAAGAATAGAAACCAAACTCTCCTTTGCCGAAGGACAAGGTAGCAAACTTCACTGGGAAGCAGAGAGACAGCTCCTGCAGCTGGAAGGGGACTGAGACATGAGTTTGCCTAGACACTAATCTTTCAGAAATAAACCGTTTTCATAAGACTTTCTTCATTTTTATTTTATGCATATGAATGTCCTGCCTGCATGTGTGTCTATGTACGACATGCATGCCTGGCTTTTACCAAAGAGGGCACTAGATCCCTGGAGCTAGAGTTGTAGATGTTTGTGAACCACGCTGTGGGTGCTGGGAATGGAACCCAAGACTGCTTCAAAAGCAGCCAGTGCTCTTAACCACTGAGCCATCTCTCCAACTCCAAACTAAACGGTTTTATATCTACTTAGTATTCTACGTCCCATGCGTTTCTCATTAGTGTTTGAAAAGGGTAATCTGCCTAGCGTGCAGAACATCACTGTCCTAGACATCTACTGTAGAAAGCTGAGAGTCTGGCCCGTCTGACTTGATTGGCGGCTTTATACAAGGGAGAAAGGAAGGAAAAAGTCTGTGTGCAGGAGGGCTGGCACATTGCTGAGGAAGTGAGGTCCTGAATCCAGCAATGGGAAGTGTAACTATATCCCGGCAGGAAATTGATCCCGGCCAGTAGACAGATAATGCAGACTGCCATGGGGGTATGTGTGAAGTACTACATTATATGACATGAGGATGATGCTGTGAACTAGCATAATTATCTGCAAAAAGAACAAAATTTGCTTTGCAAGTGGAAATAGGTTGGCGTTAATTTAAAGAATTCTGAGTAGATTTTTAAGCTCTGAAGCATGAGCACTGGCTGTTCTTGCAGAAGATCTGGAATCAGTTCCCAGCTCCCACGTGGTGGCTCACAACCATCTACAGCTCCTGCTTCAGCACATTGTCCTGGAACTGTATGTGTGTGGTACACAAACATACACGCAGACAGCACTCAATACACATACACTTAACTCTTTCTTTAATATGAACCATTATGTGCCAGGGCTAATCTATTTGGTGAAAGAAAGTAGAAAATGAGAAAGGAGGAGAGAGGCAGCCCCTGCATGTTGGCTGGGCTGTGTCTGGGAATGACCCTGGGTCTCCTGCAGAACTGAGCTCTGCTGGGCTATGTATCTGGGGATGACCCTGGGTCTCCTGCAGAACTGCATGTTGCCGGGCTGTGTGTCTGGAGATGACCCTGGGTCTCCTGCAGTACTGAGCTCTGCTGGGCTGTGTCTGGGGATGACCCTGGGTCTCCTGCAGAACTGAGCTCTGCTGGGCTGTGTGTTGGGGATGACCCTGGGTCTCCTGCAGAACTGCATGTTGCTGGGCTGTGTGTCTGGGGATGACCCTGGGTCTCCTGCAGAACTGAGCGCTGCTGGGCTGTGTGTCTGGGGATGACCCTGGGTCTCCTGCAGAACTGAGCGCTGCTGGGCTGTGTGTCTGGGGATGACCCTGGGTCTCCTGCAGAACTGAGCGCTGCTGGGCTGTGTGTCTGGGGAGGACCCTGGGTCTCCTGCAGAACTGCATGTTGCCGGGTTGTGTGTCTGGAGATGACCCTGGGTCTCCTGCAGAACTGAGCACTGCTGGGCTGTGTGTTGGGCTGACCCTGGGTCTCCTGCAGAACTGAGCGCTGCTGGGCTGTGTGTCTGGGGATGACCCTGGGTCTCCTGCAGAACTGCATGTTGCCGGGCTGTGTGTCTGGAGATGACCCTGGGTCTCCTGCAGTACTGAGCTCTGTTGGGCTGTGTGTTGGGCTGACCCTGGGTCTCCTGCAGAACTGAGCTCTGCCGGGCTGTGTGTTGGGATGACCCTGGGTCTCCTGCAGAACTGCACGCTGCTGGACCGTGTGTTGGCTGACCCTTTGTTTTCCTGTACTGAGACTCAGAGCCAGGGCCCTGTGTTCTCTGGGTCAGTGCTGCACCACTGAGCTGTATCCTCAGCCCTTGGTTTTATTCTAAGGATGTAAACTCTCTTTGTTTAGAACTTGCATTGAAGCTGGGCACACTGGGACTCCCAGCACTCGGGATGCGGACACACGGTTAGGACTCTCCCAGGTCTACATTTTTACAACAGGTCTTGTTTTGTAGCCATCTCTTCACCTCTCACTCTAGTTGGCTCAGGGCTTCCGGCCCGTTATGCAGTGGCGACCTGCTCCACTCACAGGCAAGTGGGAGCTGCCTGCTGTGTTGCTGCTTGTAACTGCCGCTGAGTGAGACTCCTGTCCAGATCACTAGAGAGCTACACTAGAGAGGTAACCTGCCTATGGAAAGCTGTTTCCAGGAGGTATCCGATTGAGGCCTGGCAGCACAGCCTTTTATTTCTCCTTCTGCACTACACATAACATAAGTCATGGGACCAGGCCGAGGACAGTGGAAAAATCGTCAAGAGTTAAGATGCCAAATGCAGGTTCAATGGCTTACAGATGCCAAATGCAGATCTGAACACATCTTTCTGTGTTTTACTGTGTCTGTCCTCCATATCATTCCGTCTTTTGCTACTCTCCCAGAAGACAGGTTTCTGTTAGTCCCTTCCCTTAACATAATTGCTCTTTGAGGCGTTTAGTAAATCTTCCAGTATTTATTGGAAGTATTTTATGTGGAAGATACTGAGAAGACAGATGTGTGCTTCCCAAAGTGTCTTAAGATGAAATTTCCCTACCCCCCATGCTTGGAAAGCTAAGAACCATGTGGATCAGGACATGAAAGGTGACAGAGGACTTTGTAGTCTTATGGGCGGGGCTCTGACATCCCTTCCCTCCCAGTGGAGCTGTGGCCGAGAGTGAAGCTCTCAGCCTTCTTATAAAAACTGCTACCGACTTCCCGTTGCTCTCTGGCCAAGCACATGGCTTACAGCTTTGACATAATTCTACTTGAGTCTCCTGCTAACTCTGTAAGGTACACGTTCCCACTGTAATTTACCCAAGGCCAGCTTGCTGTCAGCCTGGGAACCAGGACTCAACTCTGTTCAGAGGACACCTTTTCTATTTGTTGTCACACTGATGATGACTTAGAAACAAAAACAGACAGGTAAATGCAGAGCTGGCCCCCAGGTCCTGAACTTCTTCCATGATGCTCTGCTCACGAAGCGGCATCCTGCTCCCTCTGCCGCCAACCCCTGCTGTCCAGACTGGAGGTGCCCCCAGTCAGCAGCGTGGTTAAAAACCCATATTCCGGTAGCCGTTTTCAGTGTCTCCCAGAATGGACAAATGATCTCTCCTTTGCCTTTGTTTTAGCGCTCCTACTTCCGTACTCTGCTTATGTACGGGTTCCATTTCCTGGTGTGGTTCCTTTGTGTCAAAGGAATCAGGGACACGCAGTGCGGGTTCAAATTGCTAACCCGAGAGGCAGCAGCCCGGACCTTCTCATCTCTGCACATCGAGCGATGGTAGGTTTCTGACTGGAATGTCCCGATGGAGCCAGATAGACACGTGTGTTATATGTTCGCCCTGTCTCCAAGCCTCCCTCCTCCCCTCGTGTCCCTCTCCAGTTGGTGGTCTGTCTGTCTTCTCCCTGGTTCTCTGGTTGCTGAGCTCTCTCTCCTGCCTCTTCAGACATAGTCTCTTCCATTTCTCTCTTCGGGTGTTCATCCTTTCCTTATCTTCCTTCAGACCCTTCCGTTGACCCTGCCTGTGCCCTCGGCTCCAGCCCTGTGGTTGCTACCTTGTCTTCCCCATCTCGCCCCCCCTGCCTCCTGAACTAGCCCTGACATTGACTAGGCCCCTGAGAGTTTCCAGACATGGTCGCAGCCTGTTGGTTTCTCTCTGTCTCCACAACTACGCAGCCCCGGGGGTCTTTGTAATCATATTCACAATTCTGCTTCAAACCCTGCGGTGGTTTCCCATGACCTTTAGAGGTCATCGCAAAGCCTTCCCGCTGTGCCTCTTCCCCAGCCATGCCCAGTTACAGGCTTCACGCCTGCCTTCTCTCTCCTCGGGGTCATTACTTCAGTCTCATTGCCCTCCAATCACAGGCTCCTGAGGAGCCTGGAAGAGTGCTTGTGTGCATGAGACCCTGGGGAGGAAAAGAAAGCTCTAGAAAAGAAGAAATCCCTCCTGGCGACTTACTAATCTATTCTACTACCAAGTGCTTGGCACATTGTCAGTGCCCGGAGAATACTGCCGAAAGGGTCCTTGCTGAGTGTTAGTCACAAGTTCTGTGTAACTTGTTCCTGGTGGACAGCTGCATAATTATCTAATATATGCCCATGCTTGATGTCTCCACCACTTTTGTGGATCTGTTTCTGAAGATCAGTCATCTTCCCTAGAAATGGGTTTCGGGTAAGCTCCCAAGATTTCTCTTCAACTGTAGTGTCAAAATTTAAATTGTCATATGTGTGTGTGTAAAGTCTTTAATGTCCCGGATTAAAATAGGAGACGTGTGTGGTGGTGTCTGTAGCACAGGTGTCTGTTCTGGGGTTATCATCCCAGAGGCTTCCCCAGCATCCCAACTCCTGCCCCTGCACGTGGCTCTTGTAGCCTGGTCCTGCCTTCATGATGAAAATAGTGTATCTGAAGAGCTGTAAGTGTGTGTTGAGACAGAGTAACCATGTGGGTCTTTGCCTGTCACAACCCGAGCCTTCCAGACTAGGTAGGCTTCAATAGATGCCAAGACCCACTCTATCCAAGACAGCACAGGGTAGGGACGGGGACCCTGGTTGAGAGGATAAAGTGGAGAAGCAGCTGCAGGCGACCAGGGTGGCCCTTTCAGGAGCCTGGTCAGCCTTGCTTATTTAAATGGTATAGACCTTGTTCTCCTTGAAGCTTCCCATACACCCAGTGTTCACTTGTTTGACCCTCTGGGGGTCTGGTCCTCAGTTTTACGTAGAAACTTCACATCTGCCCTGGCGGACACCTGATCGATGCCCCCACTTGTCCATTTAAAGCAAGCAATGCATTTTCTCTTTCAGGGCATTTGATGTAGAACTGCTGTACATAGCGCAGTTTCTTAACATTCCAGTAGCGGAGGTTGCCGTCAACTGGACTGAAATTGACGGTGAGTGCACTGTTTGCTTATAGCTGGTCCCTACCCGGGCGGTGCAGCTGTCAGCCGGCTCCCATTCATCCCTCTCCTTCACCAGCGCCTCCCCAGCTCTTCACGGAGCCTGCTGTGTTCCATCGGATTTCCTCCTGCTGGTTTTCCAGACTCTTCTTTGAGTCTTTGGTGGACTTCCTCCTGGCCCAGGTCTCCAGCAGACAAGTTCCTGGGGCTTGAGTGTTACTGGCTGAGCACTTGCAAACCGCTGTGCAGAGCTGAGGAGAGACCACTAGTGTCGTAGCCATCCAGACCCCATGACCTTGCTTCTGAGGTGCGGTCTCATTGCATTGCCTAGGCTTGTCTTGAACTCACAGACTCAGACAGTCCCATCTCAGCCTCCAGAGGGTTAGCTGTATGTGCACCTAGATCCCCAAATGCAAAGTCTTCAACCCTGTGAAATCTTTGTAAGTTTGTGCAGGCTCCTTTCCAACCGTGCTGTCCGTGCGCAGTGCGAGCTCTCCCCTTCTGCATTTACCCTGGGACAAACCCAAACCACTCACTGTGTGGGGCGGTTGATGTGACCAGCTGCAGACCTTGGCAGCCTCCTCCCCTGGGCACTTGGCCTCCAACCCCTCTCTTAATGCTGTAAGGTGTGTGGTGCCTGAGTTTAGCTGTCTCTGGCTCCTACAAACTGCAGCGAATTTATAGAAACTTAACAAATCCACACCACTGTTCTAGAATCAAAGAGGACCACCTTGAGATGGTTACAGTCACTTTCAGGTGTGTGCTGCTGGCTCCTTTGTGTCTCAGAGATAATTGTGGTGTTAGAGTTCTTCCTAGTTTGTCCCCGATTAACAATAGAGAATGTGCCTCCAGAATGCTTCAGTGGCCATGGATCTAGAAGAAAGCTGTGTGTACTCAGGGTGCTAAGGATGGTCTGCTTTGAGGGTGGGGTTTGGTTAGAAGTGATGAGTCCTGAGCCTTCCTCCTGGTAGATGTTCACTGACTGGTAGGTAGCACACCAGTGACCTTGGGGGCCAGACATTCAGTTAGACTGCTATTCCCTTGTAGCCGGAGGCAGAGCTGTGGACAGCTGCTGTCTGGTTACAGGTTTCATTGTCACTGTTGAGGCTGGTTGTTGCTGGGTGAGGTTGAGGCCAGCATGGGTCACAAAGAGCCTAGTTGGACTACTAGTGAGTCCAAGGCTTGCCTCGGCTGAGCTGTAGGGAAGGAGAGAGAGAGGGGCTCACTTGTAGGCCTTCTGTGTGCGTGTTTATAGTGCTCTGTGGAATTAGCACTTTTCATGAGCTACTAATACTCTGCACGCACAAACTCTTCTCCCCTTGGCATCTGAAACGTTCTCACTTGAGAGTCATCCAAGTTCCCTTGCACTGACAGACTTAGCTTTATTTTGAGAGGAGTCACCTCAGCTTTATATTTTAAAAAAAGATTTAAATTAAGATGTTAGATGCTCAGAAAGGTAACTGGCCTTTCCCCATCCTGTGTGTGTGTGTGTGTGTACACATGTCCTGTGTGTACATGTGTGTACACATGTCCTGTGTGTGTGTGTGTGTACACATGCCCTGTGTGTGTGTGTGTACACATGCCCTGTGTGTGTGTGTGTACACATGCCCTGTGTGTATGTGTGTGCATATGCCCTGTGTGTGTGTGTACACATGCCCTGTGTGTATGTGTGTGTGTACGTGTGTGCACACATGCCCTGTGTGTGTGTGGGTGCATATGCCCTGTGTGTGTGTACACATGCCCTGTGTGTGTGTGTACACATGCCCTGTGTGTGTGTACGTGTGTGTACACATGCCCTGTGTGTGTATGTGTGTGTGTGTGTACGTACGTGTGTGTACACATGCCCAGGATTCACACATGTAGAAAAGTGCTCTCTCCCTCCCAGCCCCAGTCACATTTAGTATATAACTTTACACTGCTGTATATGTCTTCCAGTTTAAATTAATTTATTTTTAATTGCAGGTTCTAAGTTAGTTCCGTTTTGGAGCTGGCTGCAGATGGGCAAAGATCTCCTTTTTATCCGACTTCGGTATCTGATGGGTGCCTGGAAGATTGAGCCAACAAGGAAAACGAGTTAGTTTGCTGTCAGGGCTGGACTCCATTTTTACCTGCTGGTCTCATGCAATTTCACTTGAAATCAGAGTTTTTCAATAAAGCTGCGATGGGCCCATTGTCCCTATCCGCCTTTGTATGCTCTGAAGAATTAACTCCCATGAAGAAACCATGAGATGTCCTTTGGGACAAATAAATTTTTAAGTATTTGTGTCATAAGTTAGATTTTCTTTTATTTGGTAGTCTTTACTTTGGCTCTTGTCAGGACCGTTCTGAGAAGGACACTTTGAGACTGAAAACAAGAAGTTTCTTAAAGGGCCCTGCACAGTTTGTATAGTCAAGATTAAGTCACAACTGTGTAACAGTCATTCAAGGATGAAGTTGACGGGAAATTTAAATACAGGCTTAACTGTGTCACAGTCACTTTATTCAGTGCTAGGAACCTGTAGCAATGGTGTGAATGTCTCCATGCTGAAGGCATCTGCTTCCCTGTTGTCCGCTTATCTCCCTAACTTTGGTATACACTGTGCCGTCTCATCCCTACAGCCGCCCCCTCTGCAGTTATAATGTGGAAGTTCTGTTTACTTTCCATCATTTAGTTTTTCATTGCTGGCTTCCAACATCCTTGGGCAATCCAGGGAATCCTAAGCTGTATCTCAACCCCTGGAAATTCTTATCAAAAATGCGTTTAAATAATCATAAATATATTTCCTTACTACCAGAATTTGAGATACTGAAGAGGCCAATACAATTATTTAAAAAAATTAAATCATTTCTGATGTCATAGAAACTAAGAGGAATAAAAGCTGCGATGGTGTCATTTGAAATGCACACGTGTATTGGTGGCTTGGTCCCCAGCGTTTGACTGTTTAGAAGAATGGAACTTTAGGAGGTGGCACTTAGAAAAGTTAGGGTACTGGGGGTGTACCCATAAAGGGGATAATGAGAGCTGTGTGTGTGTGTGTGTGTCTGTGTCTGTCTGTCTGTCTGTCTGTCTGTGTGTGTCTGTGTCCACATGAACCTCTATAAGTACAGAACCACCCAAGCCAAGAGTGTAGAGTATAATCTGAGGCACTGTGAGAGAAGGGCAATTTGATACCCAGAGCCTGCTAACGTGATGGCAGACCTTAGACTGTCCATGGGTGCCCACCCTCCCCTCCACAGATGAAAATAGGAAGTCTTGTTCTGTAAGTAGCTTTCTCGGCATTGCCCTGGAAGGGGTGTCTGATCACTGCCACACTGGGTTCACAGCCCAATGGCACCCTCAGCCAGAATTCTCGCTGGCCATTGGTGCTGGGGCTCTGTGCATATGGCGCGGAGGGTTTGAGAGCTCACATCCGGAGATCACCCGGACAGCTCTCCAGTGGGGTCTAGGGGTGAAACTCAGGTATCACTTCTGTGCAGCAAGGACTTTTCCTAAACTGAGCCATCTTTCCTAAAAATTCTAGATGTTGTCTTTTGCAAACATACCCAGTTCTCACAGGACAACAGCAGGCTAAGGCTGTCACTCCCTGGAGAAGGGATGTGAGTGTCCACTCCCCTCATATTGCAGATGAGTAAGTGAGGACACGTGGGCCTCCCTGCCTGATTTGGGAACATCTTCAGGTGTCACCTTATGTCCATACACTACAGTTCCACGTGAACTCGGGAAGGACCAGGAGAGACCCGTGCCTGGGCTCTGGACTCATGCCGAGCGATTGGAGTTTGAGCTGTATCCCAGCATCTTCAGCTGTAAGGGAGAAATGAGAATCTCACCTTGTGAGGCGTGAGGGCGGAAGGATTGCTGCTGCCCGTGTGACACTCACCGAGTTCAGTGTCAGGGAGCGTTCACAGTAAACCCTCTCTCAGAATCAGAGCCACCTGCCCGTTCTTCACCCCAGCCCCTTCCTGTTTATCAGCAGTGACATTTCTTATATACGCCACTACTTTAACAGCTGAGGGTTCTATGCTCAAAACCTAGTTCTAGGTGTAGGTTCTACACCTAGTAGGCTTCCTGGGCTGTCTATATGACCTGTATCACAATGTCTGCAAGGGGGACATTTTGTCACCACATCAGCCCTATGGGGCAGTACCCAAAGAGGCAGGGTGGGGACAGTAACCCAGGATGTAGGCATTCACGCCAAAGTGGGTAGGGACAGTAGCCCAGGCGTTCACGCTCACTTCTCAAGGTGGCTAGAATTCCCATCTCTGTCACAGGCAACCCCCCCATGTCCTTACCCTACTGTGACACCTGTGCTGTGTGCTGGTCTTGAAGGATATGGACTTGTGTCAGGTGGAGCGCTCTGTGTCCACACCGTCTAGGTACCAGGTGCTCAGGGAGTAAGGAGTGAGCCAGTAAGCAGATTCCCTCCCCGGCCTCTGCCTCAGTTCCTGCTTGCTCCCCTGCCTGCCTTTCATGCTGGACTGTAAGCTATGATAGGAAAGAAACCCTTTCGTGCTGTCTGGGTTGGGTCTGTTTTATCTTAACAGCAGGAAGTACCTAGAGCAGGAGGCTTTTTGAAAGTTTGGAGGAAATGGGATGGGATGTAGCGATCAGACGTGCCATGGAGGGATTGAGCATTGTAGCCGTTCATCTTCCTGCCGAGGCCGTGAAACCAGCCGCCACCGACTCCGGCTGCTTAGCTGCTTCCGGCACAGTGCGTTTCCACCACTCCGACCGCACCCCTCAGACCTTTCCTCCCTGACATCACTGCTCTTAGGGTGTGTGTGTGTGTGTGTGTGTGTGTGTGTGTGTGTGTGTGTGTGTGTGATGCAGAGAAGCGGGAAGGGTGGGCGGGGACATTCCAAAGCTGGACCAGATACAGGGTATGAGAGACATACACTGGTTACCGCAGATGATGCTGCTGACTCTGAGTCGGCGTTCCGTCGCTATGACAGGATGCCCCTGACAACTGAAAAGCAACGCAAAGGCTTTTTGGCTTGTGGTTTCTGAGGGTTTGGCCCTGTGTGTTTGACAAAGGAGGGGGGCTGTTCACTTCATGACCATCTCGAAAAGGAGCCAGGATACCTATATCCTCTTCGGTTTTATGTTGCCAATAAGCTCCTCTAAGTCAGCCGCTCTGCTGTCCAACAGCGCCTCCTGCTGGAGGCCAGGCTTTTCACACATAACATACACTTGGGGTGTGGGCAGAGGGACGGACAGACGAGAAAGCTCGCAGTCTGCCCAGTAGGTGTACTCTCCCAGAGAAGGGATATTTTAGCTGTGGTTTTCAGATCCCTAACCAAAATTGTAAGGGAATTGCCATCAAATCACTGCTGGCACTCTGATCTTGTGTGCATTTCCATAACAAAATGCTCTGGTGGACGAGAATTATGTTTCTCTTAAATGATCCAAAAACGACAGAGGAAGAACAGAGTTCTCCTGAGCAGGGCAGTTAAAAAAAAATCAGCCAGCATGAGTGCTCTTCCCCAGGGTCGGTGTTCGCTCTGTCTTGAAGCCCAGCGGGTTTTACTGTTTTGTCTCCCTAGCTTTTTCAGGAGTAAAGTCCAGAAAAGGCAGAGTACACACACTTAGAGGCCTGGCCCACTCCTACCCCCCAGAGAATTCTGTGAATTCACAGCCTTCGTGGCAGGAGCCAGCCTATCAAAGGTTTCCTAAGGCTTTGTGTGCCCAAGGAAGGAGGAAACTGATTGGATCAATTCTTTACTATCATTTCTGGGGAAGGAGGGGTGGGGGTGGGAGTTGAGCCACACGTCATCAATTCAGAGAACCTAATTAGTTTACTTGCCTCAAAGTGCACACAAAATGCCCTCATCCAGTCCATGACGTTCAGTGGTTCCCACACTGGGCAGTATTTCTTCTGGGGTTTCTTTCTCCCCCAGGGCAATCTCAAACCCAACACCTGGCCTGCAGAAGGGTATACAGACGGACCAGCTGTAGAGAGAGGCTTTCAGTTTGAAATTGAAGTAGCATTTAAACTTCCTCGATATATTTTAAGCTACCCTTGGATGATGATGCAAAAGTGACATGTTCCAGAAAGTGGTGGCCTTAGGATTAGGGAAAGAAGTTCAACCTAAGGGCTTTCGGTTACATTTCCAAGGTGCTCTGGTCTCTCGGGGTATGCTTTCAGTGGGACTAACTGAGGTGACCCAATGCCATCCTCTGTCTCTTTGAAAACCTGTAAGGCTCGGTGGGGGAATCAAAGGCTTTCAACACACCGGTGCCACTTCCCAAGTGGCATTTTAGAGGCAGGCGACCTAGGGGACAGCCAGGCCGCTGGGCAGGAAGGTTCTTTGTGCCCATGATGTATATCTTGAGTAGATTAGATAGTATGTATTATATACTGGGTAAGAAACCACAGTCCACACCATTTCAGGACTAGTTTGAAACTCCACTGCCACTCAGCCAGATTTTCTTGGGCTGGTGCCAGGCGAGCTATGCCTCGGATACAGAGATAAGGAACAGCCAGCCAGTAAATGTGGCCTCAAGGGACCAAGTACTCAAAGTCCCCAGGCTCCGGAGACACACGGTTGGTGGTCCTCTCTGCCTCTCCTGGGGACGGCCCCCTCCCTCCGCTGCCTGGGGTCCAGGTGGGGAGGACACTTCTGAGAATGACCTGGAGATCCCTCTGGCCCTGAAAGCCATTTTTGCAGAGGCGATGCGCAGGACGAGCGGGTGCGCAGCTCGGCGGGGCGGGGAGCGCTGCTCGGCCAGGGCGCACGGCCCCTCCTGGCTGGGGCTGCGCGCACGGCTGCCTGGCGCCCTTCCAGCGCGGCGCACTCACGCGGGCGGCCGAGGAGGAGGCTCCAGCCTGACTGACGCCTCTGGAGCCGCTGTCTCGGTCCCGCCGCCGCCCGCCCGGGCCCTGCAGCTACCGCGCAGCCCGAGAGCGCGGGGGGACACGCGTGGCACCACACCGACAGGTAAGCGCTGCCACGCCGCGAGCGTGGGCACTGGGGAGGTCCTTGAGGTCCTCGGGCGTGGGGCTTGGCTCTCCGTGGAGCCTGGGTGGCGTGTGTAATGTGCGAGGGCTCCACGGCAGCCTGGCACCTGGGACCCATCCCGGGGACGCGTGGCCCGGGGTGTGGGCGAGGATGCGTGATGCGCGTGGACCAAGCGCAGTGGGATGCAGTCTGTCCTGCACCCAGGAACTGGCGCTCTGGAACCCTGCTTGGGGAAGTAGCGCTTTGCTGGAGAGTTGGGGACAGCGGAGGGGCGAGTGTGAGTGTGTGTAAGGTAGTCTGGGGGAGATTTTGAAAACTCCGGGACGCCTTTGGCCACGAAGGCTTTTTTCGTACTTCTGTAATTTGTTTCTTCTCTGCTTACCTTTGAGGAACACAGTGAGAGAGGGGGAAAAGTTAGGAATGTTACGTGTCTGTAGCTAGCGCTTGGGTTGTATTTGTCTTCTCCTGGGCCTACCATTGGGTGCCAACGCTGCGCAGACGGGAGGGGGCGAGGTGGGGACAGATGCAGGCGACTGACTGACGCCGGCCTTGTGATGGGGAGGAGGAGCATGGGGAGCCTTGTTATGGGTGGTTAATCGCCACACGTCTTCTTACCCCTTCTCCTCCCTCTCTCTCTCGACCGTGGCAATTGAAAATGATAGTTCTGAGGTCCTCCGCTGGGGTATTTCTTGGCTAGAACTGGTAATTTTGAGAAATAACCTACAAATGATGTGGATCTCGTTTTGGAAGCAAATTGTATGTAATTCGGTTGAATGCGTGCCACGGAACACCAGGAATTACTTTTAGTGCCCCAGTTCACAATGACCGTGCAGTAGCTTGCTAGGTTCCTGTAAACATTTAGCTAGCAGGGAGAGCGGAGAATAACATAGCGGTTAGGTCTTTGGCCCTTTAATGATGGCGCTTCCAAGGCAGTTCCTCAGGAATATTTGTGGTTGTGAAATGTGCTAGCCTGCCCGTCAATGCCCTCGGATGTTTACATGCAGAAACTATCCATCTATACTTAAAAGGCAAATAAAAATACAGCTCAACGACACTCTACATCAAATGACCAGCATTCAGTGCTCTGCGCTAGGAAGGCGGGAACACGATTTGGATCACTTTCAAGTCTGTGATTGGTAATCCAAGGGCATCGCAGATAAGAAACCGGTGTGGTGGTTTATAAACAAGGAACGTTTAAAATGTGATAAGACGACCAGAGTGGCAAATAATATTTCTGAAAATAGCTTCTAGTGGTAAGGCTTCTTGATGGCAAGTCAGCTTCCTGCAAGCTGGCAAGCTGGCCTTTGCTGGAGCTGTCCAGATACTGCCAGCCCCCACTTTTATGCTTGAGCGGATGGCTTTGTCGGGGTGTCCCCCCCGGGTTTGAGCTCTGCTTAGGAGAATGCCAGCATGGCCTGGATCCAGCCATCTCACTTACTAGTAGTGTTTTCTAAAAATCAAAGACAAATGAAGGTTAACCCCTTATAAGCACCCGTCAAGCCTTTTAAGCGTGAGACAGTTGGTGTTTTCTTTATCGAATATTTTCCCTCTTATTTTACATGTTCCATAGTTAATGAACAAATTAGAAGATACTCACCAGTATCAGCTAATGCATCCCTGATAACCTAAGATGTAGGAAGAAAAAGAAGCATCCCCACCCCTGTTTTGTAGGAAACTTCACCACAGATATCGAAGCACTGAAGGAATGGCAAATTTGTGTATTCTTTGTGATCATGTGCTCAAACTGGAGGAGGAGAAAAAAAAACAAAACAAGAAATTATTCTTTCACAGGAATAAAACAATTCGATGTCGGTTTTACAAATAATTGAATTCTGATGAGTGAGAGTACAGTGTACGCTGCCAAGTTGGAGAGAGATGGTCACTGCATCATTGAGGCAGCTAGTGATACCTGACCTTCCCTCCCCACTACAAGAAAAGCGATTTCATCATAGTCTGCTTTAATACGATCCAAGTCTTAACCCAGGGGCCGCTCCAGTGGCAGGAAGGTCAGGGTTATGATCAATAAATGTTCTTTTCTTGGCTGTTATTTTTTGAAGCATCTGACATTAAATCCTAACATTTGAACAAAACTTGGGGGGAGACTCCTGTTTATGTTTGTGAGCACGTAGGAATTCAGAAACCAGGGTGTATGCAGAATATCCAGTAAACTGGGTGTATGTTGAAAATACAAATCTTGCATTGTTACAATTATGGACTGTTGAGTTTTTATTCCCTTTATTGCTATCGCTAGTGAACTGGGAAGCTGTCCTAAATCAAGGGTGGCAGACGTATACATTCTAATTTTGACGGTGAGAGCAGGCAGTGGTGTGCTACGCTAACTTGATGAATACTTGTGTAGGAACAGGAACATAGCAAAAATGAACAAACATCCCCTGGCAATGAGCTAGGCCTTCCTTAAAAGCAAGCATTCCTGAAAATTATCTCAGTGCTAATTAAAACCATTAGGATTTAAAGATAATTGCCAGCATTAGATGTCATCAGGGCTGTGAAAAGTGTGTGCTCATCTTCATGCTGCGTCACCCGGTGGCAGCTGGACCCCGGGTCTCCTGTCTGTGCCCTCGTGGTGTCCTCTGCCAGGCTTATCTTCCGATGTGTCTCACGCAGACACAAGAGTGCATTACAGGTTTCCATGCACCCCCAGGCTTCCCTCTTCCATGCCTATTTCTTGAACTTAGGCTCAGGCCCTGGATGCCTTCAGCTCCCACCACCGAGTCCTCATTTTGTGGACTCGGCCCTCTTGCTGCCTTCGGGGAATTTTCTCAGTTCACCTTGGTGGCGGGTATGTCTTTCTGTGAGTCCTTGAGTCTCCTGTGTTGCTTAGCACTGACTTGTCCACACATTCATTTATTCCTGCCCCTCAGGCGATCCTTACAGGAGGGGACCGCGTTTCATCTGCCCTTCTCCTTCCTTTACTTCTGACTACAGCGCTGGGCTCAGCAGTCAGTCAGTAAATACTAATTAAATGAAAAACTCTCTTCATCGAACCCGTGGTCCCTTCTGAAATAAGAATCTATAAAGGCATTTCACCCATAAAGTAGGTCTTAAAAGTCCATCTTTCAAGAAGCCAGTGTTGAAGTGAGCTGAGGACTTGTAGTGAAAGTCAGCCCAGACGAGGAGCATTCTGAGTTCAGCTCACCCCAGGTGGACCCCCAGGAGCTCGCCCCAGAAGACTGTCACTGAGCACTATAGCCCAGAAAGCTCAGTGATAACTCTTACTGCGTTAGCAGTTTTCCATATCAGATCCACTAAATATGCAATGGAAGATTTTTTAGAAAAATCCAGGTTTTTAATACAATACAGCCACCCCAATAAAACTTTAATGGGATTTTAACAACAAATGGATAACACAATCCACTGGTGCTCCCCCCACCGCTCCCCAAAGTCACATCAAAATTGACAGTCTTAGTGTGCATACTCAGACTCCTGGTGTGAGCCTTTTCTATGTTGTTCCTGTGGATGCTAAAGGCTCTTTAATATGCACCAAGTTCTGCTCACCAAACTCAAATAGAGTTCGCATGGCCATGTGAAAACTAGAGTCTGGCTGGGCAGTGGTGGCGCACTCAGAAGGCAGAGGCAGGAGAATCTCTGAGTTCCAGACCAGCCTGGTCTACAAGAGCTAGTTCCAGGACAGCCTCCAAAGCCACAGAGAGACCCTGTCTCGATAAACCAAAAAAAAAGAAAACTAGAATTTGTGTAAATGTCAGGCCTAGAAGATATGTTTGATTGTACAGGTTGTTTTGTTTTGTTTTGAGATAGGGTTTCTCTGTGTAATAGTCCTGGCTGTCCTAGAACTCACTTTGTAGACCAGGCTGGCCTCAAACTCGCAGAGTTCTGCCTCTGCTGGGATTAAAGGCGTATGCCACCACTGCCCAGCGATTGTACAGTTATAACTGGCAAGTTCTAATTAACTCCCAATCAACTTCACAAGAATCCAAGAGGCTGCATTTTAAATTTTCAGTCCAGTTTGGTGTAAGACGAAGTTCATGAATATGAAGAGATGGATTGTAAGTGTGCACTGGGCAAGACCTTCAGGGGTCACGGCACTGAAAGCCCTGAGCTTCTCCGCCCTTGCTCTGAAGCCCATATTTAATTTAAAGAGAACATGTGTGACCATGAAATAAATGCCAAGGAGATTTACATAGCTCTGTTGTTTCTTCTAATCGACATTTGAGTTGCCCATGAAAATGCTAAATATGAAATATGAAATTCTCTCTCCCTCCCCCCTGTCTGTCTGTCTGTCTCTCTCTGTCTGTCTGTCTGTCTCTGTCTGTCTGTCTGTCTCTGTCTCTCTGTCTGTCTGTCTGTCTGTCTCTGTCTCTCTGTCTGTCTGTCTGTCTGTCTGTCTCTCTCTCTCTGCTCCTCCTCTAGACAATTCACTGTACTTCTTTCTTTTTGCCTGTTTTTCTCTCTGCCCTGCTTTTTCCTCTCTTGTCTCCCCGGCCCTCGCTCTTTTCCCTCCCGCCTCAGCTATTTGAGATTTGAAAAGTGTGATTTGGTCATACCCATCCCTCCTCCTGCTCCTCCCAGATCCCTCACCTCTCCACTCCCCTGTGTCCTCTTGGGTTTTTTAAGTCATCATATGCAGTTTGTGCCGCCCATATGTCCTCTGAGATCTGTGGCCTTCCCCTGGAGTGGACTGACCTATGGAGGGCCACAGCTTTAAGAAACAATGCTGACTGGCCCTCCCCCAAAGCTGTGCATCAGTATCTCCTCGGCTAGGGGTGGGACCTCATGCCCATCTCTCCTTTCCATGCTGGGATTTTTTTTTAAGGTAGGGTCTTGCCGTGAATCCCAGGCTGGCCTCATGTTTTCAGAGATCCTCTTGCCTCAGCCTCTCAAGTGTGGGACTGATTACAGTCATGTGCTGATGTGGTTAACATCTGACCACTTGCAAGACTGTAAGTTAGAGCGACTGCTTACAGCGGGTTTGGAGATGGTGGGCATAGGAACAGTCAGAA